CAATGCATGTTTCGTATTGACTTAAGAAGGAGAAAGGCACTAAAACATCAAGCAAATTATAGTGAAAAAGTGGCCAACACCATTGCAGAAGAGGAGAAATACATGAAGCAATGTAAGATCATTCCTGCAGGAAATGAAATATATGAGGTCGATAAACATATCCACGGTTTTAAGGTTGACATGAATGCAAAGACATGCTAATGTAGGAGGTGGAGTATGACAGGAATTCTTTGTAGACATGTCTTGAAGGTGATCAATATGAAGAAGCTTCTTCTAGAAGATTATGTTTCTGACTGGTATTTGACATCTACATGGGTAAAAATATACAGCAAGACAATCATGCCAATAGAAAAGTTACTCAAGGTCCTGTAAAGAAAGTGAAAAGGTTCAAGGGAAAGAATGAGTCTAAAAAAAAGAAGCAGAAAAAAGGGAAAGGAGAAGAAGAACCTACAAAAGTTACAAAACTTTCAAGAGGGGGAGGAACAGTTCAATGTGGACGGTGTAGCATGATTGGCCATAACAGTAGGACTTGTAAAAGGCCAAAGAAGCATCCTGTTGGAGTTATCGAATTCGGTCAACGGGAATGACCAAGTCAACCAAGCCAAGCATCACAAAGTTCACATAATGAGTAAAAAAGTGAGTATTAATATGTTTTTTCTTGTTTTGGCTATAGTTTTTGGTTATTTATCTCTGTTTCTGTGATGATTTTGCAGGTTTTAATGCAGTTTACTAGGTGTTAAGGAAGTGGACCAGTAGAGATATATCTAATCGATGGAGCTATAAGTTATTTTGTTAAGTTAGAATCAGAAATGCTCTCTTTTGTTCTAGGTGTCTAATTTATGAAACTCATATATGCTCTCTTTTGTTCTAGGTGTCTCATATATAAAACTCGGATATGCTCTCTTTTGTTCTAGGTGTGTAACAAACTCTATGGTATTGTTATGAGCATTTACGTAATATGATAAACAAAACAAACACAGTGATAATAACCGGCATTTACGTAACCGGCAATTACGTAATATGATAAACAAAACAAACACAGTGACAAACTTGATAATTATAGTCATT